GATATCGATGTTGACGTTGCGTTGATATTACGGTTATTGTTACCGTTTTATCGGCCCATTCGATCGATCCGTTTTAACGTCTGGTTTGTTTCCCTATAGTAGAGAATGCCAATGACATGCCAATGTCTGTACAACCGTGGACGAAACATGCGCCGAAAATGACACAGCCTAATCTCGATTATATCGGTAAGAATACCAATCTGCTGGCAGCCACTTCAGTGTTGAATTTTATTCTCCATCTGTTCCTTAATTTGTACGTATTTGAACCGTGACGTGTAACGTTGCGATCCTAGCTCCAGAAATACAACAAAAGAAACAGGGAAGCTTCTACAGCGACATGTACAGCTTCGGCATGACTATTTGCGCGATTTTCAATCAAGGTCGACCACTGATTCAAGCGAATCACAGTTGCTCCGAATACCTCAAGCAAATAGAGAACGTGAGTGATATCACGGGTTTACTTTCGTCGACTTTCCTAAGAAATTCTTCCTACTCGACACGCGTGTTCTCTTTCCAAGCCTCCTCTTTTCTCTTTCGCTATCGAACGCGATCATCTCCATGACCGTGACGACACCGCGTCCTTCGAAACTGGCATTTTTCATTCTGTTGTTGCACCGCAGCTTCAGAAACAAGTCGACGTGATGTTGCCTTTGATTCCACTTCCGCTTCGAGAAGCTGTTAGTCGTCTGTTGCACAACGACCCGGCACAAAGACCGACCGTTCAAATTCTCTTGCTGATGAAATATTTTCAGTACGTAATGGTAATCAACCTATCCTATCTGTTCGATGCGTCCAATTTATTAGAAGCATCCGTTATTGTTCGAGAGAGCGATCTTCCATCGAGACTCGCCGCCTTTTCAGAGATCCGCCGGTCTATGGACTTCAATTCTTGGACGTGAGCAAAATGAAAAACGTGCTGCAGAGGGAGCATTTTTACACGACTACTCTCAAAGGAATATTGCCGTATATACCAAAGGTAATTGCTCGTTGCCAACTAATACCTTGTTGCGTTGACTAATACCTGCCAACTAATAAGCAATTTTCCATTCGTAGAAGCTGTGGTATCAACACATTTGGACTTACCTGGAAACTGAACTAGAAAGTCAGGAAGTTCAGTCAGCTGTTCTACAGCCAGTGCTCTATATCGTAGAAAAGAGTACGCAAGAGGAATACAATTGTATCGTATTCCCCGCATTGAGGTATGTATCGTGTAGCACGTATGTACATATAGGAATTCCTTCCTCTATTCTCTGTCCGCAGCAGTCGAACTCGACCACGTTACAGATATCGTATCGTATCGTTTCCGCAGGACACTTTTCGCAAATCGCAAGTCGGTCCAAGGAACGGTCACGCTGTTGGAGAATTTACATCTAATACTAGAGAAGACACCACGGGAGTACAGGGAGAAAGAAGTGCTTCGTTTTCTTTACGAATCTTTTGAAAATTCCACTACTCAGGTACAGGTGGGTAGCGCGAAACAATTCGAAAAGCACAAATACGGACGTACCAACCGCGCGAACGAAGGCGGAGGAAAGGAGGTATGGGAAAAATAATTGGCTACATTTGCTAATTGGGAACACTTTCACTCGTAGACGGCGGCGTTCGTAGCCGTGGCGAACGTGACCGAGTACATCGAAGACGACGAGGCCGTTCGAAATATCATATTTCCAAAGTTGTTTCAAGCGTTTGAACAAAATTCGGTTGACCCGCGAGTGCTGATGAACGTGATTCCTTGCATTCTGAACCGGCTAGAGAAGCAGGAAATTGTCGATTTAATCCTTCCGTTGTTGTACAACGCGAACCTTCAGGAGCCGGAGGTTATTTTTAGGGTTGTAAGTAAGTATACATAGATATTATTATACATGCGCCCTTTTATTACACTGCGTCGCTCTTACTGACTCGAGCCGATACCAGAAATTTATAGATTAATGTTGACCGATAAAAAGTATGGGCTGACGGCGAACTGGATGGCAACTCGAGCAATGCCCTCCTTGCTACCTCAAACGGTCAATTCAGCTTTAAACCTCGAGCAATTTGAACTACTTCACAAAGTTTTGCAAGACATGCTCAGTCACATCGAGAGGTAACGGTCATCATTTCGTCTCGTCTACAGTCGAGAGAATCCATTTCCACCGGTTTCCGCTTCTTTTTCTCCTCGTTTTAAACCTCCAGGACTCAGCGGAATCAGTTGTCGTTGGACAACCTGTCTCTGTCCAGTCCGGAAAGACATTGGAGTTTACGACATCAATACAGCACGAATAATATGCATGCCCCGACGTTCAATATACCGAATCTCCGAATCGAACAGAGAAAGACGTCCTCCGCTGAAGACATGGCTAGGAAAACGAGCATAGGTAAGAATCCCGCGATCGCGCTCGGATCCGTGACCCTTCGTTCGTAATCCGTAATCGTGGGATTTGTTTGTTGTCAACGATGTTCAGGTTCGATATCGATGACAAGGTCGGCAGAAAACATGACAAGAAAAAATTCGATGGCCGGTAAGCGGTGAAAGTTTGAAATGAAAACGATTCGAAGGTAAAACTCCATTAATTGCGCATTAAATCTGTCAGCTGTGTTGGGTTGGTTCTCGCCGTCGTCGAAGAACGACAACAACTTCCTCAGGGTGGCGAATGCCTTTTCGAGTCGACGTTCATCGGATATTACTCTAATGGCACCAAAGATACGCGTGGTGCAGTCCTGCGTGAGTTCGCCAGGTGGGACACCCGGTGGTGGATTACCATTTCGACGGCACTCGAGTACTGGTTCGCAAGACAAGCGCGAATCCAGCATCAATTTGTCACCTCCCACGGTATCGCACCTTTTACTTTTCTGTTGGCATGCCGATTTTCCATAGAAAATGTAGGATACGATATCCAAGATATACGATACGCGTAACGTAGGCGGAGATTGCTATCAATGGCAAAAGATACCAAGGTAGGTAATAGGATACGGAGGTGCCGTACTCGCGGTATGCGAGTATGCTCGCGGTAGTGGGTCGTTGGTAACGATAAGAAACAAGTAACGTGGCGAGCAACGGAGGAAATTGTGCAAGTTTTGTTTGCGTTCGATAGGGAGGTATGCCGATTACCAGTAGCAGCGTCCCACACTTGTGGAGCTCGAGCATGAACAGTATACGCGGCTCGAGACGTCCGTCGGTTTCGTCGACGTCGCCCCAACAGGGTACCGGACTGCTGCAGCAGGTTGGGTCCAGCATGGTAAGACAACAACTCCCCATCTGCCTGAACCTCAATGGACCACCACCACTACCACCACCACCACAACCACCAACACTCTCTCCATTACTCCAGCTATCGGGACAGCTTTCCCACTGACCCTTCGTTACAGTGTAAGGATACTCAGTAGCTTATCCGTCGTCGCAACGGCTCTCGTTTTTTCTATTTGGCACAACGCGTACCTACTAGCGATAGAGCGGTCGTGACTCAACAACCGTGTATTCGGAGGCGTCGGCGACGAATATTGGCTATCCGAATAGCGTCTAGCTGTCCAGCATGGTAATACCGTGTGTACGGTTGGAACGAGTCTCGCTGCTGTAAAACTTACCCGGCCATTATTCGTCGCCTTCTACCTTTTACCTCATCTTTCCTATTTAGTTGCGATCTTGTCGCTTGATTCTCCTGAAACTCGCTTCTCTCTCTACCTTGTTTCGATTACTGCGTTTCCCGTTTCCTTCGTGCGGACTTGACTCTCGAAACTCGGGTCGTGCCGCGTGCTTGTGTCACAGTGAACACCACTTGTTTCCGATTATTCGAGAAAAAGTGTATAATAGCTTTGTCGTCTCGACAACGAGAGGCACGTTGCGCGATTTCGCGTGTTTAGCCAACAATTCCAGTTTAGGACCCATCTCAGGTCCATCGTGGATAGTTGCTTAGTAGACTCGTACTGCGCAAAACAAATATACGTATGCGTTTGTTGTGCATGCTCGGTGCTTTTGCGATAGTTTGTTTTCGAAATTGTCAATTCCGGCCCCTCCCCGCTCTTCTATCTGTTTCCATCTCTCTGTTTATTCCTCCTGGTTTCCGACTTGGTTTCCGACTGTTCCCAATATTCTCGTTCATTTGCCTAGACGTGTAATTACGCTTTGCGACTAGTTTTGCTATTCGATCATTTCCCGAATGGACCAACCAATCGATACAGTGCTCGAATCTGACGATATTAGTTGTACATTCAGAGACGTCTTTCCGTCTGCGAACAGAGATGGGAAACGTGCTCGCATCGATCGATAGGTTGGTCGGGGATAGTTTCGTATCGACTCGGAAGAATCCTAATTGTCCTAATTGTCGGTTTTCTGTTCCATTGCAGTACCAGTTCCTCAGTAGACAGTTTGACGCAGGAACTGTAACAACGAGACGCTGAATCGTCCAACGTGTATCGAAGCAACGAGCGATCGTTGAGACAAGGTTACGAGGTAATCGATCGCACAATCAAGAAAGTCACATTAATGTTTTATGGATCGGATTGCGAGAAAGCGGAAATCGGTGTTGCATATTTCATTCGATGAATTGTAATGTGCCCCGGCAACTCGTTTTTATTTCAGGGCCTAAAATCTAATCGATAAGAATTTCTCTTTTCTCGCTGTGAAACGAAAGATTTCAACAACTTACCACTGCTCGCGTACCGTGTGTCGTGGCTTTCGTTTAGTAAACGTTCGAATGCGCTCCACGCGCATATAGAATACTTTACGTTCGTCCAATGTTTCCAATGCACAAGTACAGTGTTGAAAGTATCATTATATTTCGTGTTTCGATCGTGTATACCACTGTGTGTACCCGCAAGTATCGATAGCCTCCGTAGAGGCAGAAGAATTTTCTCTTTCTCCGTGACTCTCTTTCTCTTTTCATTCAAACTAGAATAGAATATTCGGGATGTCAAGATTCTATGTCAATTGTAGCACTATCAATTTTCTGGTAGATTTTTGTAAAAGTGATTTCGCGTTACCACGAAATTACACGAAATTACACGAAATTACACGAAATTACACGAAATTACACGCAAGTTCGTCTAATCTCGAAGATCGCGACAAGTTTGTCGGCGCAGAAGCAATGTTACGAATACGATACCCACGCGCAGCCTGGGTAAAAAAGAATGGGCACCGCGAGTCTGCGATGGTGCGAAACGTAAGGTATTTCTGGGATTGGGGGGTGCAAATGTATCGATACATATCAAAGGGCGCAATTATTTGCGCGGTAGCCTAACGAAATTTAGAGATCTCGGTGGTCGCATTTCAAAGTACCAAAGTGTCAATCGGTCGTGCTTCAAAATATTATTCCGCCCTCGATAAACGTAATTTGATTCGATATTTAATATTCGCTACTCGATAGTAGTCGTTTGTACGATGTCCATACGATGCGTGCGAGAATACTGGTGTTACCTCGTTCGAAGCGCAAGTACGCGCTGGAAAAGAAGACGACCGTACTTGACGTTTCGAAAACGGAAAACGAGAAATAGGAGAAAAACGAGAAAACTAGAAAAAAACAGAAAAACAGAAAAATTGGGAAAACGGATGAAGGGGGAGGACGAGTAGAAACGAGAATTTTCAGAGTACGCGAACCTAACAAGTCAAGTGTCCTTAAGGTTTGCGCGGAACGGTCCGGCATGACCAAAATTAGATACCGAATCACGGACAACTCTGAACAATCTTGGTTAGGTATTGCAAAATCTTGGACAATCTTGGACAATCACGGATAATCGTCGACAATCATTTTCGAGCTTCACGAGTCGTTAGGCAAAGTCTTATTCGATTCGAATGGAAGCATCGGTAGAGAGACTCGTGAGATTTAACGCGTATTCGTACGTTAAGAAATATTGAAAGCAAATGTCGAAGCGTCGATAGGTCAGTTGCAGTCGAACCGATCGACTCCTAGATCCGCGTTGTCGGCGTGTTTTGCGCGCGTTTAATGCTTGTCATTTACGATCGGGAAATAACAATCGTTCTCTCGAAGCGTCGATTCTTGAACGCGTACCTGCTAGATGATCATTCGTAGGAGGCGTAGTCCTCGGTAATTCTCCAAACACTCGAGTCTAATGATTTCGAAAACTTTTCGTTTTCCTCGACGGCCGTACACTTGCTATCGAACTCGTGTAGCGGATAACGTAACGAGCGCGGTCAGGACTGCGGCAACGTCGTTGCATCGTTGCAACGGTTCTCGCGAGAGCAAACCGTTTCGTCGAGCGTTCCGACCGGTCGGCCGATCATTCGTACATTACATACATATGTTGAACGTGCATGGTTAGTTTTCTTCGTGTTACTAGAAGAAACGTGTTTACAAGATGGTCGCCGACATGGTCGCTTGTCGTCGTTGTTCTATTCTACACTAGAATTCTTCTAGACGAGTCGTCCACGTATCAAGTGCATCGTTCGATCTCGATGTCTCGTCGAAAATATGTGTTGACGAGGAACAAATCCAATTTCATGTTTCCCGTAAGATTATCGACGCGTAGACAACACGCGATCTATCCTTTTTTCCGACTCGTTCGATCATTGTTCAATATTATCGACATGAATGTATTTTTCCTGTATTTCTTTCGAAAGAATACTATATACAATAAAGAGAAACGGCGTGTCGAGTCTGTCTGTTCTGGTGTGCGTTTCATTCGACCTTTAATAACGTTTCAGTCGCGAATACGTTGTAGACGATCGACGACGATTCTTTTATCTGCGGGGCTGCGCGTAGCTCCGCGAAGGGTTGCGAACCGATCAACCGACGACCGAACAGAGGGGAAAACGGGGAGAACGCGTGGCTGCGTTCGACCTACACGGTCCGCTCGATGAACCGCCGTCGCCGCGTTATCGTCAGTTTCGACGCACACGACTGGCTGCACGGACGTATTCCGTGTCGGGCGAGAGCTGTGCAATCTCTTTCAATCGCGAAAGCAAATTTCGGAATCGTAAATGATCGTTCCTTCGAGTATAGTCTAGAGTAGAAAGAATGGAACAGCTTGGGAGCGGAAGGAACGGATTATTCTCAAAAGCCGAACGAATGACACTAGCGGGGCAGGGTGCAGACGACGATGAAACGATCGATCGGTGCAGGTTGTGTCTTGGCAGGCAAGCTTATTCGAAATCCATATTCGCTGGAGGAGCTGCGTCCGAGAAGATACGTTCGCGTATTTTAGACTGTTGTCCCATCACGGTGAGTTTGTCAGGCTTCTCGATTGTATCGCGGTTACGTCGGGCCGCGGCGGTGGTCATCGAGTAAACGCGCGTCACGCGATCGTTCGTTTAGCTATTCGAGGACGAGCGACTACCGAGCTCGATTTGTCAACGATGCGAGAGCAAGTTGGACGTCACCTATGAATTTCGGCAACTATGCAGAGACTCGGAGCGCGTTCTCCGCGCGCGCTACGAATCCAATTACCGTGCTCGAAGCGGTACGCGGTACGCAAACTCGACGAGTTTTGGGGTAAGTCGAGCAACCGACACAGACAAATCCGACATCCAGTTACGCTCTTATTTCTATAGGGTAATTTTGCAGAACGCCGGTACGCGAACGGACGAAAATGGAGCTGACGGATGCGACGAAAGCGGCAGTCGCGCGGAAGGGAAATCACGAAACGAAACGGAAGGGGAGTCGGGGGGCGAATCGGAAGAGGAATGCGAAAGATCGAGAAGAGGATCGAGAAACGCGGAGCATGGACACCGAATGCAAGGACGCGAGCATCAGGGGGATGACGAGAATGATGCCATAATCGGTTCCGAGATGCGATCGGTGAAGAACGTCGCGACAAACGATGCAGCGGGGAAAGGAAAAGGAAAAGGAAAAGGAAAAGGAAAAGGAAAAGGAAAACCGTACGTTTGCGAGCTGTGTAAGAAAACGTTCGCTTCGAAATCCGGGTTAAGGTTCCATTTCAAGTCGCACAACGGTACTAAGCCGCATTCGTGTCGACATTGCGGCAAACGGTTTGCCATTCCGAGTTACCTGAAGAGACACGAGCGAACTCACGCGGGAAACAAAGTGTTCGTTTGTCGGATCTGTAGCGCCGCGTTCGCCTCTTCGAACGGTCTGAAATACCACTCGAGATCGCACACCGGGGAGAGGAATTATCGGTGCGAGACGTGCGGCAAGTCCTTCCGCCGATACAAATACCTGAAGGAACACGTCTTCACTCACACGGGAGAGAAACCGTTTGTTTGCAAACGCTGCGGCACCGCTGCTTACGCCAATTCCGGTAGCCTATTTGTCCACGAAAAGAGATGCAACGTGCAAAATGCCGATTAAAGATGGGTAGAAGATTGCAACACAGAACTGAAAAAGAAACGTTCGCTTTATTTGATCACGGTTCGGGGTAGAGTCGAATTGAAATTCGAGTTGGCGAGTGAGTGTGACCGGCGAACGAGAAACGTTGAGCGCGGTTGAGCACGGTTGAGCACGGTTGAGCACGGTTGAGCACGGTTCAGCGCGAGCAAGTCTGTGCCGGTCGATCGCACCTACGATGCGATGTAGCACGATCGATGGGTAGTCTTTGGTATAGGGAAAATGGTCGTGGAATGGTGGTTGCGAAGCTACCGCGATCGGCGACAGTCCGAATTCCTGCGCACAGACATTTCCGAGGTGGCGATCGACATCCACTGGTCGGTGTCGGAGCGGAACCAAGTCAAGCCCAACGAGTATTTGCCGTTGAGATTCGCGTGTTGGCAACGATTAAACCACCATCCTCCGTGGTAGTTTGCGGCGCAGTGTGCCGCGCTGTCGTCCATGTCGCGATCCTTGGCGCTGAACGGCATTCCGTTTTGGTAGGACAACGCGTCGGTCGCGTTGCCGGTGTAACCGTCGATCAGCAATCTGTAACCCGTCTCTCCGGAAGTAATCGCGAACAGCTCGTATTCGGCTCGCCAACGTTCACCGTAAATGTCCAGCATGTCGACGCGAAGCCGCGTGCAATTGTCTCGAGTGAACTCGTGCAGGATCTGGTTGCCGATCCAGTACTCGCCGACCGGCGAGCCGAAACCCACAGAGTAATCGTTCCAGCTGCGATTGAAATCGAGCGTGCCGTCGACGCGGCGTCCAACGACGAGCCAACCGCCGCGACAATAAACCATAATGGGTTTGCGGCCCCGACCCGCGTCTACGAGCCGGAGTCCGTCCTTGGCCGGGCGATCGGCCGACTGTTCTTGACAACTGGTTGGCAGTTTGTCGACAATCAGATGATAACGGTCTTCGAACTGCTCGAGTTTCGGTTCTAGCTTAATTTCGAGTTCGGAACCGTTCACCAGAGGCGGTGAGTCGGACTTTGATTCGGACTGCGAGGCGGAAGCGGCCGCACCCCGAGTGAATTCGTTGAAACAGCTACGATTCAATCGGTCCACGGCTTCCCGCTGACGATCGCTCTTCTCCTGAAGTTTCGACGCGCTGACGCTCAGCGCCTGCACGGCGCGTCGCAAGTTGCTCAATTCCTCCCGGGTCAACGAGAGCTCGGCCGCTTTTCGCGCAGCGTTCACGGCTAGCCGAGCCAATTCTTCTTTGATCGCGGAGTTGTTGGTCTCGACGATCTCTTCGAGGGTTCGCAACGAGCCGGTCAGTCGCGAGCCGACAGACTCACCGATGCGTTTAATCGAGATCGCGTTCTCGTTCGTGTTCTCGTTCGCGTCCGCGATTCGTCGCGACAAATCGACTTGATTCTTCTCCAAGCTTTTCATCCGTTTGCTCAGATTGATCGTGAACCATTCGCCCTTCTCGTACGCGACGCGCCTCGCGTCCAGCAACGTGACTCGCCTCTGCGTCAGAAGAGAGACTTTGCGCTCCAAGTTTTTCAACCGGTCCTCGCTTCGTCTGGAATAACCGTGCCGTCTGGAGACTCGGCGGCGTACCGCGACCGCGTCCGTCGAGTCCTCCGGAATCTTGTTCCGCTGGTCCTTGGTCCAACTGTACGACCACCGGGTCCCTGCCCCATGCGAATCTTTTCCTTTGCCGGTGTCCATCGACGACGACGTCGACGACGACTCGCATCCCATAGATTTCACCTCGATTTGAACCGCGCTCAGCTGCAATGAAAATATTCAGTTTTCACTCGCTCTCCGGTTCTCTTCGATCGAAGCTGAACGTTCGTTCTTTCCGTTTTCGTCGGCTACTGGAAAACACGGACAGCTTCGAAAAGAAAAGAACGAACAGCAGCTGGCTGCACGCGTTTCGTTTGCAGCTGTCGCGCACAGACGCACAGGCGCACAGACGTTTGCGTTCGACCGTTGATCGAATCGCTGGACGAATCGTCCGTATCGTTGCGAAGCGCGTGTCTTTGTTCGATTTTGACTGGACAGGATCGAGAAAAAATGTCCAATTTCAGACGCGAAGTAACAGAGGGGATGGAAGGTGTGGAGCGCAACGCGTGGTTGAGCAAACGTACCGTCCGTAGAAATTAATACCGGCACCCGAGCGAAACACGGAGGGGACGTTACATGGACAGCTGCGCACCGGCAAAGGTAGGGATGCGTGAAAACCTTTCGGTTCGGACGACTGCCAGCTGTATATTTCTTATCGTCCCCGACGATAAGCTTGCCATGGCACGGGGAAATCTTGGAATCGTCGTTAAAACGGCGCTAATTGTTGCATCGAAGCGTCTATAACTCGATGTTTTTATTTCATCTGAAAGCATTAT